ATTCAAAGTGGAAGCAAAGAATTAAGAGGGCTTTAGACGTGACTAATACTAGGGAAATGTCATTTTAGTGCCAGGAATGTCTTTCTTGTTATTCTGGACCCCATTCCGAAATTGGCATCTTTTGAATTTTTGTGAAATTGGCCAAAATTCTAAATTCGACCACTTTACTGGATTGTTGAATTTATAAAATGGGTTTCTTTCTTGCACCCATTCGTAGAAAAAAATGAGTTCTAGCGAAAAAATCAGTTTTTTGTCGATAGTACAGTGAAATTGGCCGAAAATGGGCTCAAAGTGGGCAAAATCGCCGATCCGTAAAACATCCGAGACCGCTAACTTTGCGAGAGCATTTAAATTCCGTAAGTTTTCAATCAAATTTCAAACTTTTGGTGTCGTTATGATCGGGAAAAGATTCTCTATCTTTTCATAAGAGAAAATAATTTTTTTTTTTTTTTAAATTTGGCCGACCCTGAGAACGAGTTTCGGAGAGGGCCTGTCGACCCTCAAAGGGTTAATTATATGACATGTTACATAAAATTGTGCCGTAATTCTTCAGTGGCGGTCTACTCTACGTAGAGCTGTACGATAGAGCTTCAGTTCCCTAAATTAATAATAACAACAAGAATAATAATAATAATAATAAAAATAATAATATACTACTAATAATAATATTATTATTATTATTGTTATAACGATAGAGCTTCAATTCCCTAAATTAATAATACTAATAATAATAATAATAATACTAATAATAATAATGATAGGGCTTCAGTTCCCTAAATTAACCCTTTCAGGGTCCACTGGCCCTCTCCGAGACTTGTTCTCAGGGTCTCCCAAATTTCAAAAATAAAAAAAAATTATGAAAAGATAGAGGATCTTTTCTCGATCATATTGACACCAAAAGTATGAAATTTGATGAAAAACTTACGGAATTATGCTCTCGCGAAGTTAGCGGTCTCGATGTTTACGCATCGGCGATTTTGCCCATTTTGAGCCCCATTTTTGGCCAATTCCAGTGTACTAGTCGACAAAAGTCATAACTATTTCGCTAGAACTCCATTTTTTCTATCGAATGAGTACAAGAAACCACCTATTTACCGATTTCAACTATCCAATACAGTGGTCAGAATTTAGCAATTTTGCCAATTTCACACAAATTTCAAAAGATGCCAATTTCCGAGTAGGGTCCAGAATAAACAAGAAAGACATTCCTGGCACTAAAATAACATTTCCTCTGTTCATTAGTCACGTCCCCATGCCCCTCTTATATTCTTTTGCTTTTCACTTTGAATTTTTATCCTCACAAAAAAATAGAAGATTTACTATTATGCAGACTACTGCATTAGTGTAGAAATGGTATAAATAATATCAGCGCACTTTTTTTTTTTTTTTTCCAACAAGTCGGCCGTCTCCCACTGAGGCAGGGTGACCCAAAAAAAAGCCTACCAGCTTTCTCTCATTAGATTTGAGGGCACTAGAATTTAGGTGTACTAGTACGTCATGGACACTGGTGTGTAAGCCGTACTAGTATGGCTGAAATGCTGAAAGGGTTAATAATAATAATAATAATAATGCATAATATGTATGTAATAATTCAGATTGCTTCTGCTAGTTGGCACAGCTGGTAAGCAGTAAACAGTTTTACATTGCTGTGGGAGCAGTTCTTATGCTTGCTTGCATTTTTTACAGTCATTTGGCCAAATTTCTTTTTTCTAACCATGGGTCCTAAGAAAATAAGTACAAAGGACAATGCTGAGAAGAAAATGATGATGATTTCCATCAACATCCCTCACCCACACTTTATATAAACAGCTTTTATACGATATTTCTTATTTATAAATACACCTACCATCCGACTTACGACCAAGTTCGGTTCCGAGAAACCGGTCGTAAGTCGAAGTGGTCGTAAGTCGAACTTTACTGCTGAATATCAACAAAACATTTTTGTAATGACTTTATTTTATTGTTTTATTTTGGTATTTCATGTTTTACTTTACTTTTTATGTTGTTAGTACTGTATTTTATACTGTAAGGTTTAAGATAAACACTGTGTACAACACAAATAGTTGTTTATTTCCCAGAAATTTGGCATAAAAAACACGGTCATAAGTCGAGTGGTCGTAAGTCGAGCAGGTCGTAAGTCGGATGGTAGGTGTACATTGTTTCAGTGTTTTCCTTAGAAAACTAGTGATCTACTGCAGTTAGCCTCAAAAATACTTCATTTTCTCTTACAGTAAGAACATGGGAAGATACTATAGTCAACTTGGGACAGAAATGGCAGATGCTTCTGCCGCTGCCTCTGCCACCATATTATGGCCTATTTTATTCATTCTAGAGTATATATCATTTTTCTGTCCTAAATACATTGTTTATTATGTCATGTTAGATAATTGTGATAGATAAATAAACTGTACAGTTGATAATAGCGTCATAGTCAAGTATTTTTTCTTGTCTCTCCAGAGTGCAGCAACGGATTAATGGCTTTTCAGTTAATTTTAATTTAACCCCTTCAGGGTCCAAGGCCCAAATCTGAAGTGGTGCCCCAGTGTCCAAGAATTTAAAAAAAAAAAAATTTGTTATTTTTTCTTATGAAATGGTAGAGAATCTTTTTGTGAAAGTAATAAAATAAAAAGTACGAAATTTGATGGAAAATTGATGAAATTATGCTCTCGCGAATTTTGATGTGTCAGCAATATTTACGAATCGGCGATTTGGCCGACTTTGACTCCCATTTTAGGCCAATTACATTATTCCAGTCAACCAAATTCTTAGCTATTTCACTAGTATTACTTCTATTCTATCGAGTGAGCACAAGAAATCGCCAAGTCAACTGTTTCAACTACAAATTAAAGTGATCGGAAATTGTTAATTTTGCCAATTTAACACAAAGTTCAAAATATTCCAATTTCAAAATAGGGTCCAGAATAAACAATATAGGTATTCCTGGAACTAAACTAACATTTCCTCTGTTCATTAGTTACATTTTGAGGCTTTACAAATAAATTCCATTTTGATTTTTTATTCACATAATGAATTTTTATTCACACCAAAAATTAGAAGATTTACTGTTATGCAATACTGTAATAATTGTATAAATATCATCACCATATTTGTAAATGCATATTAGACCCACCAGACGTGTGAGATCGTTTGTTTACTCTTGAATATCGGCAAAAATTTAACATTTCTGCTACTTTGAGCTCAGTTTCAAGCCATTTCCAGTGCGAAAACCAATCAAAATCATCTCTATTTCTGTAATATGTCTTCCATTCTATCAAATGAGACCAAGAAATCGCAAATAGAACTATAAAAAACATATGAAAAAACACTGCAAAGTCGCTGTTTTAATCGAAAAATCATGATTTCAGTTTTTTTCTCTCATTATACACAGCATGCTGCAGGATCTGTTTTATGTGGTACACACATACCACATAGATGTATTCTCTCATATCTAGGCTCAAATGTACCACTCACAGTTTATCAGAGTGAGCTGAGCTCATGACATAGATCTACGGTTTGGACCCTGAACGTAAAGCCGTAGATCTACGGGACGGACCCTCAAAGGGTTAATGAGGAAAATTAATTTGATATACGAGTAAATTAAGTTACGAGCTAGCTCCTGGAACGGATTAAACTCATAGGTCAAGGTTCCACTGTATTAATTAGCCAGTAAGAATTAGGATTAGTCTGCCCAAAATGCCTAGGCAAGCTAGTGGCTTTCTTTGTAATTAATATTTTGTAATATGTAAACCACACATTGTAAGTTTTGCAAGGAAATAAACATATTCATTTTCATTAATATCTGTGCTTCATTACTCTCATTATTAGCAGTGGGGTTTGATCCATGATCTCCTCCCACACCCCTATCAGAACTGGAATCTCTACTGCGACATCATAGAAATTACCTCATGTTTAGAGTTTCAGTCAAAATGCTTTGACATGACCTGTAAGAAATTTCCACAACTCTGATGGAAATCTTCATGAATAACCTTCCTCACTTCATCAGTGTTGGCATCTGTTTTTGACATTGATGGACAACCAGAGCATTCATTATCCTCGACTCATTTTTGTCCTGCTTGGAATCAAGAAAATCATTCTGAACAATGTGTCTGACCCATTGCTTCATCATCAAATGCTTGCTGAAACATTTTGTGAGTTTAACTAGCAGTTTTACCAAGCTTGAAACAGAATTTCACACACGCTGTTCTCTCTTTTAAAGATTCCATCACATACAAGAAATTGCAACGGCACACTGACAGCATGACAAAAGTTGCTCCTCTAGCCTCAGTGGGATGACCAACTGCACTGAAACTCTCCACTCTACTTCACATAGGAGTGTACTGTGCAGCTTAATCTTTACCGCCACAATATTTCATTCGGGAAGCTCATGAAAAATTCAAGTCCTGGAACTTTTTAGATAGTATGTCGTATACAGTGGCATGAGTCTGGTGGCATGCAATTTGCCTGAACTATCTTAGTTTTCAGGTGCCCCATTTATTGTTTCCTTGTTATTAAATATTTTAGTAATGTATTATATAATTACATTTGAAGAATGTCAAATTGTGTAAGGAGTATTGGGGGCCAAACTTCCATCCTTGATGTTGCAAGTACTGTACACAGTATAACTACTCAGCCATAGTGTATCAAGGAATTATGTTAGCCCTAACTATTGTTCAGCTAATTTTACTTTCAGAATTATCAACACCACATAGACCTCGTGAATACAACATCTAGTCAGTTGACCATAACATATTCATTGTGTATTTTACAAAATTTGTGAGATATTTAGAAGAATTTGTCACAATACAAATGACTTTTTTACTTTATGTACTCCAGCATAACAAATTTGTCATTAGTTTTTGTCAGGACTGGGCCAGAAAAATACTTTAAAATGCAGTATAATAAATATAAGTTTAGCAGCAATATTTAAGTATAATTCAAAATTTTCATTAAGTATTGTACAACAATAGTATGACGTAGTTTAATGTATGTTTTTATTTCAGCACTTACTCTGCAGTTTGTGAGCCATAACTTTCTGGAGTATCATGATCCAACCATTGGTAAGTATTTTTTGTGACTTATTCGTCTTTACTATTGTTCACTCTTACTGCAGTATTTTAAATTGAAATTTGTATTAAAATTTATTGATTGTTTTAGGACTACTAGTAATGTATAATGATGCACTGTTGAAAATGGCCAGTACAGTGTTATAAATTATGTACTGTACAATAAATGGTAAATGTAAAATTTAGTAATTAACGCTTTCACTTAATTTTCTAAGTCCATTTTTAAATTTCCTTAGTCTTTAATAAGTTACACCTCTAAGTTATGATTGTACATATTTTTGCAACCTGTGAAATGTGCATTTTCACTCCAGTAATGTCATCTATTTAGAAATGCAATATTGTACTATATACAGTGGACTTCCGGTTTACGATGTTATTTCATTCCAGACGTATGTTCAGGTGCCAGTAACTGACTGAATTTGTTCCCATAAAGAATATTGTGAATTAGATTAGTCCATTTCAGACCCCCAAACATACACATACAAACACACTTACATAAATACACTTACATAATTGATCGCATTGGGAGCTGATCGTAAACCGGGGGTCCACTGTACTTACAAGTATACTATAAATAACTTAATCTAGATAATAGATAAAGAATGAAAAATAAGAAAATATATGAGGAAGTCACTGGAGAGGAATGGAAGAGTGTCAATTTGATGTGGTACAGTAGATCTCTGTAAAATGAACATAAGAGAAAATTTCACTGTCCAGACCCGTGAAATTAATATTGTTCAGTATCCACATTTAACCCTTTCACTGTCGAGAGCCCTGCTCACAAACTTGCTCTCAGTGTCAAAAAATATTCCCCCCAAAAAAAAAAATTCTTACCAAAATGTTATGAATAATTTTCTGAGTGTTATAAAAGAAAAAAAATATTTTGTGATCAGTACATACTTACCGAGATATAGAGGCATGAAGTTGACAGAAAGTGAATCGCTGATGGCAACATCGGTGACTGCCGATGTTGCCATCAAGTAACTTTTGTGGCCTTTGAGACCAATATAATGCATATTGTATATATGTATATCTACTCATTGTATGTAACACAGTAGCTGCACAAATATTGTTGTTGTTACAGTGGACCTTCTTTTTTGTAATTAATTCATTCCAGAGTGTGTGACTATTATCGAAATTGACGATTTGCGAATCCATTTTCCCTATAAGAAATAATGTAAATCCAATTAATTCGTTCCAGACACCTAGAAGTATCACAATTTTTTTTTTTACCTTAAAGATAGATTTACATGCACAAAAGAATGAACATTGAACATGACAGTTACCTTTATTGAAGGCTGTTGTTGATGAATGGAAGACATGGAGGAGGTTATTGTTTGGAAGGAAAATCCCCCTCCATAAGGACTCTAGGTCACTTCAGGGGTCACTTCCCTAGCCTAAATATAGATTTACATGCAGAAAAGAATGCCAAATAAATGTAAAGCACTAATAAAATGTATAAATGAACATTTAACATCACACTTACCTTTATTGAAGACTCTTGTTGTGTATGGCCGACGGCCCAGATTGAGGGAGGGCGAGTTAAAAGTTGGATAATATGACACAAATATCAACTCTAAGGCTTATTATCAATCACAATTCACAAATATGACATAAAAAACAATAATAATAACGGGAAAAAATTTGTAGATGGGAAACTAAAAATTTCCTCACAAACAAAACACAAAGAGTAGTATTCAACAAGTAAAGACAGAGGCCGGCAACAGTGAAAGCTCTGTTCCACAAGGCACGGTAACTTGACGGCGCTCCCAACATGTTTCTACATCCTCATACTTGACGATAGACAAAAAGTCAGCCACAGCACCATTCTTCCTTGCAGATGACACCTCCGAATCCTGCATGGGACCAGTGTCTCCATTGCCAGACACTGCACGGCTCCAGGCGACATCAACCAAAACTTTTCATTGTGATGCAGAAAAACAATATGAAGTTCAATGATGAGAAATTCAATTACTAACTCCCAATATGGTAAAACAAGAGGAATTCAAACTCAATCAGAGTACAGAACAAATTCCTATCCACGAAAAATAGAGCAAAAAACCAACGTTCAAGACCAGGGAGTGATCAAGTCAAGAGGATCACACCTTCAAGGACCATAACATGTAACAATCGCCTCTGCAGAAAAATGACAGGATGGATAAAGAAGAACCTTCAAAACTAGGGATGCCAAGCCCTATGATGACACTCTCAGTTCGCTTGTTTCTATCTAGGCAGGATATTGCTGCACACTAACAGCACCATTCAGCCAGGTGAAATAGCTGACCTAGAAACTGTACAGAGAACCATTCACGCGCGCATAACGGAGATAAACACCTCAATTACTGGGAATGCTTGAAGTTCCTGAACCTGTACGCCTGGAAGCAGGCGGAGAGATACATGATTACAGTGGACCCCCCGGTATGCGATGCTATGTGGCAATCCGATAAATCCGGTAACCGATGCTTATATTGCCAAAAATTTGCCTCGGTACCTGTTACAAAAAACACCGGCATGTTATACGATACGTACGAGATGTGTCCACATGTGGTCCTTAACTACCCCGTGTTACCATGTTTGCAAGCCAGTCTCAGTGGTGTGTGCACTAAGGATACATTCGGTACATTTTTATTTTTCCCCCATATGATCCATATCAATCACTGTTTTTGTGCTTGTTTCTGCAAAATAAGTCACCGTGGGGCCCCAAGAAAGCTTCTGGTGCCAACCCTCGAGACCAAGTGGTGCTAAGACTATAAATTAAAGAGATAATTGCAAAGTATGAAAGTGGTGTGCGTGTATCGGAGCTGTTCAGGTGTATAAGTAAACCCAATCACCATCTCTACTATAGTGAGCAGAAAAAACGGCAATCCAAGGAAGCTGTTCTTGCAAAAGGTGCAACTGTGATTACGAAACAGCGCCGCAAGGGTGGTTAGAAAATGTTTGAGAGACTGTTATTGGTGTGGATAATGAAAAACCGATAGCAGGTGATTAGCACACACACACCTCCTCACCCATACCATCAATCATCACCAGATCTTCATTAAACTAAGTGTCCAATTATTCTATTGTTATTAATTCTATTGTTAAATGTGTTATTGTAATTATAAATTTGCATATCATTGGTAAGATTTTTGGTTCATACTTTTGGGTGTCTGCATGATTTAATTTGATTTCCGATTATTTCTTATGGGGAAAGTTTGATTCGCTTTCCCGATAATTTTGGTTTTACGATGACTCTCGGAACGAATTAATAACGCGAACCTGGGGGTCCACTGTATATACACCTGGAAAATCCTAGAGGGACTAGTACCGGAACTGCAAACGAAAATCACTCAAAACGAAAGCAAAAGACTCGGCAGACTGCAACAACCCCTCAATGAAAAGCAGAGGGTGTCACTAGCAGTTAATAGACAATACAAGAGTGTCAGGGGCTGAAACTGTTCAATTCAACTGCCTCCCAGCATACATATGGGGGATTACCATAGACCCTTGGCTGCCTTCAAGCAGGCACGGACAAGCACACTAAAGTCGGTACCTGACCAGCCCGGCGTGGCTCGTACGTTGGAATTGGCGTGCAGCCAGCAGAACAGCCTGGTTGATCAGGCTCTGATCCACCAGGAGCCTGGTCACACTCTCAGGGTCACGGGGGCATTGACCCTCGGAAACTCTCTTCCACCCAGATAGAAAACATGAAGATATACTCTAAAACATGAAATATAACCGGGCAGAGGGGAGATAGGCGAGTGTATTGTTGGAGAATGTACACTTAATATCAACTCTACGGCTTATTTATCTATTACAATCAACATAGACATAATCAACAATATTAAGACATAAAAGGTGACATATACTCTAAAATGAAATAAAATAAGTCATTATGTATGTCACGAGAGTTGTTGTGATGTTTTGGGTGTATAAGGGCCACATGAGAGCATAAGCATCCATAATGGTGGTTAAGCAGCAGCAAAGCAGCTGAGGCAGCAGTGTTTTCTGTAGCCCTATATAACTCCAACAACATTGGAGGAGTTAGTAGAATCAAATATGAAAGAAGGCAACCACTACCCACTACATCACTACCACCACGCTAACCCTACTATAATAATTTGGGCTTCCACCTTCTACCACTAACAACAAGCACCCACAAACCTCCAACCATTACTAGCACCCTCCTACCACCATCACTTACCCACCCTACCACCTGTCACACAACTGCTACCACCCTCTACCACTCATCATACTCACCCTCTACCACTATCACAACTGCTATCCGAACTCTACCACCACCATTTGGTATTTACCTACAAACTTTTTCTTAAATTATATACAGTGGACCCTTAATAATCGTCCTGCTGAAAGTCCGTCCATTTCGGAAATAGTCCCATTATATCGTCTAACATTGGCTTCGCAAATGGACCTTACTCGCTAATTCATCCTTCGTCCGGGATCTACTCTTGCTCTGAGCGCGCCTGGGCTGCCTTCCCAGCCAGGTGTTCCATTGTTTACCCAGTGAGCGACCTCACCTCAAAGTTTTATACAAAATATTTCATAATATTACCATGATTTTAGTGCTTGCAAGTGCTAAATAAGCTACCATGGCTCCCAAAGAAACTCCTAGAGCCAAGCCATGGTAAGAAGGTGAGAATAACGATTGAATTTAAGAAAAATATCATCGAACAATATAAAGTGGCAATATGCTTTGGGCGAACTGGCCAGGGATGGTAATATAACAAATCCCAATAGACCACATTTTCCCATCATACCAAGAAACAAGGAAATCAAGGATGCCGTTGTTGCAAAGGGGGTAAATAAGTTCTGACAAAAATGAGATCACCAGTACACGAAAGATGTTGGAAGGTTATTATGTGTGGATAAATGAGAAACAATATGCAGGAATAGTCTGATGACAACGCTTATTGTGAAAAGGCTAGGCAGTTACATGACGAGTTGGTACAGAAATGCCTACAACTATTCCATTCATTCAATTCAAAGTTTATTCT